TCTCCTCCAGGTCTTCTGTCTCTTTGTTTTTCTCCAGTCAGAGCCCTTTAGTGTAATTGTACTCGAGCTCCTCGTGTGAAATCTTGACTGATTTTGATCAAGTAAAGGTCAGAATAACTGCAGTAATATCTCCAGATGAACACTTACTGGACTGAAGCAGCTCAGCTTTACTTGATTCTCCATCAATCATGTTTTAGAGTCTCAAATCTGATCCTCAGGATCTTTTGAGGAGCGTTTGTTTCCAGAAGCTTTACTTTCACTGTTCCTCAGCGGAGGAATGATCTTCACAAGCCTCCAGAACATCTCACATCTTCTGAGGAGCCTTTATTTCTTCAGCTCTCAGTCACTGCATTATATGTTTGGAGCATTTCAATCTCATCTGATTACTGGAGATATAGAGAGATGACTGATATTTATAGCATTTTATGTAATTATCTGCTGCAGTGTTATAAAGATCTCACTGATTTACATCAAAAGTTATCAATTTTATTAAATAACATTTTAAAATAAAAAATATTAAAAATAAAATAAATATATAAAGAATAATTGTGTGTGTGAGTGTCTGTGTGAGTGCGTGTGTGTGTGTGAGAGAGAGTGTGTGTGAGCGTGAGTGTGTGTGTGTGTGTGTGTGTATTTCTTCTTCTGAGTTTGCAGTGAAATATGATCTGGAAATGTTTTTTTGTGAGATTTAACCACCTAGTGGCTTTATATAATACTTTCATAATAATTTTGAAAATAGAATTGTATTACAGGAATATACAATATATCTATGCAGTGAAATGCTTTGCACTAATATCAGCTATCTATATTTTTTGCCTGATGTTTTTGCTTAATTGTCATATAATGCAAAAAATATATATTTAATTAATTTTTCTTTTATGGAGTGAAATATACAGTGGGTACGGAAAGTATTCAGACCCCCTTAAATTTTTCACTCTTTGTTATATTGCAGCCATTTGCTAAAATCATTTAAGTTCATTTTTTTTCCTCATTAATGTACACACAGCACCCCATATTGACAGAAAAACACAGAATTGTTGACATTTTTGCAGATTTATTAAAAAAGAAAAACTGAAATATCACATGGTCCTAAGTATTCAGACCCTTTGCTCAGTATTTAGTAGAAGCACCCTTTTGATCTAATACAGCCATGAGTCTTTTTGGGAAAGATGCAACAAGTTTTTCACACCTGGATTTGGGAATCCTCTGCCATTCCTCCTTGCAGAGCCTCTCCAGTTCTGGCAGGTTGGATGGTAAACGTTGATGGACAGCCATTTTTAGGTCTCTCCAATTATATAACAATGTTAAAATATAATTGTATAACGGGAATATACAATATATCTATGCAGTGAAATGGTTCAGTTTTTTTGCCTTATGTTTTTGCTTCTGCACCAAATTGCATATTTTTGAAGCTGTTTTTTCCTCCATATTCTCACTATATCAGATTATATGAGCCATAAAAGCCTGATGGATCAAACATGAAAACATATGCACAGATTTTTTTTATTTTAGATTTTGTCTGAAGGCTCAATAATCTATTTATAGCTGTATTGACTCATTTGAGTCTTTTGAAATCCTCACATAACAGTGTTGTCGACTCTGCTCTGCATTAGCTCGATCAATCATGAGCGCCTCGGGGAGATGTCACCAGCCGTGTCTTTCTAAACAGATGCATATATCGACTTCTGTTCACTGTTCAGCTGTTTCCTCAGTTAGAGTTTTTCCTCGTGCCCTTTTGTGACCCTCAACATCCGTCCTGATGCGTGAAGTAAACGGGAACAAGTTTACGAAACCCTTGCAGAATTAATACAAATCATAAAAGATGCTATTTCTTATTTAGTACTGCCCTTCAGAAGCTACGTGAGATATTTATACATTTCCCACAAGAGTGAATATCAAAAAATCTTCCTGATGAAAAGTTAAGCAATAATTTATTTATTTTTTTAATTATTAATATTTTTTTTTAGATTCACCTACCTAGTAACTATATATAATAATTACATAATAATGTTAAAAATAGAATGTTATTACTATAATATACAGTATATCTATGCAGTCAAATGATATGCACTATAATATCAACTGTATCATTTTTCCTTAATTATCATAAAAAATAATGTCAATAAGTTCTGTGAGTAATGCATAACAATAAATAATATAATAAATGTGTGTGTGTATATATATATATATATATACACACACACATACATTTATTTATATATTTATGCAATCTTTTTTCTTTTGATTTTTGGCGTGAAATATGATCTAGACATGTTTTTGAGAGATTCAACCACCTAGTGGCAACATATAATAATTCCATAATAATGTTAAATGTATACAATATATCTATGCAGTCAAATGCTATGCACTATAATATCAACTATATCATTTTTTGTCTGATATTTTTCATTAATTATCATAAAATATAATGTCAATAAGTTCTACAAATAATGCAAAAATATATATTTTTATGCAATATTTTTTGGGCGTGAAATATGATCTGGACATGTTTATTTTTGTGAGATTCACTTATAGTGACTATATATAATTACATAATAACATAAAAAATATAAATTTATTACAATATTATACAATATATCAAATGCTGTGAACTATAATATCAACTATATCACTTTTGTCTGATATTTTCGCTTAGTTATTATAAAATAATGTCAAAAAAATTTTGCACATAATGCTAACAATTCTATTTTTTATGCAATATTTTTTTCGGTGGGAAATATTGTCTATTGTATGTCATGTCAGGTATGATTGTGTCTTCTGTATGTAAATATCAAATAAAAACATCCTGCATATTTATGATGCCTCTCTTTTTCTATGCAGTCAAATGCTGTGAACTATAATATCAACTATATCACTTTTGTCTGATATTTTCGCTTAGTTATTATAAAATAATGTCAAAAAAATTTTGCACATAATGCTAACAATTCTATTTTTTATGCAATATTTTTTTCGGTGGGAAATATTGTCTATTGTATGTCATGTCAGGTATGATTGTGTCTTCTGTATGTAAATATCAAATAAAAACATCCTGCATATTTATGATGCCTCTCTTTTTAAAAAGTAATAATAATAACCATCCTGCAGATTCTTCAGGGGGTTTGCAAACATATGCACTGAACTCTGCACTCAGCTGAGCATTACTGTTCTAGTTGTCCTTTGATGTTGTTAACTATAAAACCCTGCGGTTGCTAATGTGTTCCGTCAAATCATCTGTTATTTAATAGAGGATAAAGAGTCTGTTTCTATATGATTCAGACCTGCATTAGCAGACACGTCTAACACTAAAGTGCTTCAAACACTTTCATTTCCAGCTCAGATCTTTCAACATCTTGATGTTGTTAAACTATAAAACCCTGCGGTTGCTAATGTGTTCCGTCAAATCATCTGTTATTTAATAGAGGATAAAGAGTCTGTTTCTATATGATTCAGACCTGTATTAGCAGACACGTCTAACACTAAAGTGCTTCAAACACTTTCATTTCCAGCTCAGATCTTTCAACATACTGTACATACTGTACATGAACTAAAGCTGCACAAACACAAGCCAGTGGATTTCCAGATACAACACAGTGCTTGTGAAAGCTGTCAGTCAATATCTGCTCACTAGTGAACATTCAACAGTGAGCAATAAATAAGCGAAACAACAAGATAAAACATACAAATGCATGAAAATCTGTTTCATTCTGCCAGGGGGCTTTTTTATCCATTATGTTTAAGTATAACGTTTTCAAAAAGCAAATAATAACTATAAAATAGTTCCAGTATTTCTGGCACTTCTCAAATAAGAAATAAGTTACAAATCACCTGCTTCACTTCACATTCTCAGTTTAGCCCTTATTCCACACGTGAGGAAGCAGAGGCCTGTGGCACACAGCAGATTTGAAGGAGAAAAACTCATTTTGAGGTAAGAAAGTAACTTTTTATACTTCTCTTTATAGTCTCTGTGACCTCAAGCAAATATTTAGTTTTATTTATATGTTTGAATGTCAGTATGACTAGGTGTTGGAAGTGAAAGACAAACCGAGAGCTATCTCTCAATGTTGTTTTATTATGGCCAATTACTGACTGACATTAACACTATTAATGCTAAACACAAACACACTCTCTGAAACAGACACACACACACACTCTCTCTCTCTCTCTCTCACACACACACACTCTCTCTCAGACATACACATACACACTCTCTGACACACACACACACAGTCACACACACAGACATACACACAAAGACAGTCACACACACACTCTCTCTCTCAGACATACACACACACTCTCTCTCTCTCTGACATACACACACACTCGCTCTCAGGCACACACACTGTCTCTCTCTCAGACATAGACACACTCACACACATTGCTCATTGTTTTTAGTTTTAACTAATGTTAATTAGCATCATCTTGTTGTAACGTGCAATCATGAAAACATGACGAGAGTTTGAATTAACTAAATAACTGCTGTAATAGTGATTCATGCAGTTCATTGTAATACAGCAGAATGTCTCATTCTAAGACTGTACATTGATTTTCAGGTTTTCACAGCAACACGAATCAAATAATGGAGATTCAAAACTAACCTAATAATCTGAACCCAAAATACAAGTCCACTGAGGCCAAAAAACTAAACTAAAGAAAGCTTTTAGTGCTGCTTGCTAATGAGAAACCTTAGATTTCATCACACCATCTAGTGGAAAGTTGACTATTTTTAAATAATATATATTTTTAGAATTATATTTGAATATTTTCTTAATAAAATGAAATTAATAAACATTTTAATCATGTAGCAGCATTTTCATAAGCAAAAGATACTGATATTATTTAGTGTCATACACCCTTTATTCATTCTATAACACAACCTCTCATAGCTCAAGTCATTATTTCATAGAAATGATTTTCTCAAAGACTACAACTTTCACTTCCCTCAATTGCTGAGATTAAACAGATTTTCTTAATTCAAAAAACACCCAAGATTACGTTGAGAAAATAGTTTATTAATGTGTAAAAAGCAATATATAACATTAATACCATAGCCACCAATTCATAATCGGAGCTGTTCTTTAACAAATGGCATTATTTTACAACAAATGAGTGCAGCTTGACTTCACAAGTTGTTCCTCACGTTAGCGATGAGCACGGACAAAAGCAGCTCTGAAGACTTTTCCTCTGGATTCAGAATCATGTGGAAAAACTGCTTCCATAAAGGCTCGACGGGGATGCTGAAACAAACAAGAGCAGCTCGTCTCACGTCCTTCTGATCGAATATTTCACCTGCATGCATGTGTTAAACTCACAAAACACATCACATTTCATGGCCCAAAAAAATCACATTATTAATATTACATAACTGTGACATATAATTTGCATGAGCTAAAGGCAGCAACAAATATTATAAAAAGTGTGCACAATTTTTTTTTATTACAATGATGAAAATTTAGGGTAAATGTGCTTTATTTGAATGAAAATATATACATAATTCTCTGTATGCTTTCTCCTGATTTTGGGGTAAAATATGGCATGAATTCATGTTTTTCTGTACAATGATGACAGATGATGTTCTTACCTGTGCTGAGATCCAGATCCTTCATCCAAACTCCAGGCCGAGTTTTCCTGCGTCACTTTCATCGTCCGATTAAACAGCAGCATGTGAACGATTTCTGCAACGCCGATCAGATCGACCTGTCGCAAGAGCAGAAACAACCGCAGAAATGGAATGCAAAGATTACTGCTTTTCACACATTTTAAGCATTTGATTATTCTCCTGCTCTAAAGACTGCGTTTTAAAGTCACCAAGAAACGTGAAACTTTTTTAATGAGATATTTTACAGTGAAACAGAATATTCAGCATTAAATATTGCTGAACCCTCAGCAGACCGAATATAAAAATAAATTAATTTTATGAAAAGAACTAAAAATAAAAGCAAAGCTAAAAAATAGATTAATAAAAAAAATTAAATGCAATATATAAATACAAATATAACAAAAAAAATATATAAATGCATAAAAGTGTATATAAATGAAAAAATGAACACACATAAATACAGTGGGGAAAAAAAGTATTTAGTCAGCCACCAATTGTGCAAGTTCTCCCACTTAAAAAGATGAGAGAGGCCTGTAATTTTCATCATAGGTATACCTCAACTATGAGAGACAAAATGAGAAAAAAAATCCAGAAAATCACATTGTAGGATTTTTAAAGAATTTATTTGCAAATTATGGTGGAAAATAAGTATTTGGTCGATAACAAAATTTCATCTCAATACTTTGTTATATACCCTTTGTTGGCAATGACAGAGGTCAAACGTTTTCTGTAAGTCTTCACAAGGTTTTCACACACTGTTGCTGGTATTTTGGCCCATTCCTCCATGCAGATCTCCTCTAGAGCAGTAATGTTTTGGGGCTGTCGCTGGGCAACACGGATTTTCAACTCCCTCCAAAGATTTTCTATGGGGTTACGATCTGGAGACTGGCTAGGCCACTCCAGGACCTTGAAATGCTTCTTAAACTCACAAAACACATCACATTTCATGGCCCAAAAAAAATCACATTATTAATATTACATAACTGTGACATATAATTTGCATGAGCTAAAGGCAGCAACAAATATTATAAAAAGTGTGCACAATTTTTTTTTATTACAATGATGAAAATTTAGGGTAAATGTGCTTTATTTGAATGAAAATATATACATAATTCTCTGTATGCTTTCTCCTGATTTTGGGGTAAAATATGGCATGAATTCATGTTTTTCTGTACAATGATGACAGATGATGTTCTTACCTGTGCTGAGATCCAGATCCTTCATCCAAACTCCAGGCCGAGTTTTCCTGCGTCACTTTCATCGTCCGATTAAACAGCAGCATGTGAACGATTTCTGCAACGCCGATCAGATCGACCTGTCGCAAGAGCAGAAACAACCGCAGAAATGGAATGCAAAGATTACTGCTTTTCACACATTTTAAGCATTTGATTATTCTCCTGCTCTAAAGACTGCGTTTTAAAGTCACCAAGAAACGTGAAACTTTTTTAATGAGATATTTTACAGTGAAACAGAATATTCAGCATTAAATATTGCTGAACCCTCAGCAGACCGAATATAAAAATAAATTAATTTTATGAAAATAACTAAAAATAAAAGCAAAACTAAAAAATAGATTAATAAAAAAAATTAAATGCAATATATAAATACAAATATAACAAAAAATATATATAAATGCATAAAAGTGTATATAAATGAAAAAATGAACACACATAAATATATAAATAATATATCAAAATAATTTATACAAATTCTAATGAATGCAAAAGAAACAAATATTTAAGATATATAAAAATAAAAATGAAAAAAATAAAATGTAAATATATAAAAAAGTAAAATGAACAAAAATAAACTAAAAATACAAAATGAATAAATAAAATACATAAATGTTAAAAATAAAATATTTATAAATAAAATAATATAAATACAATTTATATGTGTTTGTACGTATATACATATATTTTTTTTTTTAATCAGGGGCGTTTCCTAGAAAATATTGGATGAGGAAAATTTGTAGCACAAAAATAGAATGCCAAATTACAAAAAATAACATTAAAAAGTGTGTAAATCACAGTTTTTTCCTAAAGAAACATTGTCCAACAGCGACACCCGCAGGTAAAGTTACAGCAGGAGTCTGCGTCTCTCTCGCCTCCCCTGAGCCCATTGAGTTTTAACAGACCAACTAAAGCCTGCAGTGGGGGGTAACTGAGAATGAATGGAGAAAACACGTGAGACAATGCCTCATCACGATATGATCGGATATGACTGGTTATGATCGGCTGTGATTGGTTCATGCTATAAATCCCGCCAATGAACAATATAATGTCATTAATGGGAAGACTAATTTAAAAAAGTAAACAACTCACACGCTTAGATGTAATCATGGTTACGTCAAAATAAGACTTGAAACGGCCTGAAAACACGATCTGTGGGAGTTTTTAGTGAGTAATCAGCTTTAAATTAAATCTCTGTCTGTGACCAATATTCACCGAGCTTTGATGACTGATGATCTGCAAAATTCAAAAATAGATAAACGTTAACTATTAAAAAGAATAGCTGAACATAAGTTCACACATAAAATATAGTGTTTAAATTGTTGCTGTCTTGAGTTATTATTTTTGTATAATTCTTAAAAACACTAACTTGATGAGATTCATACTTGGCTTTAATAAACAGAATATCGTTTACATTGTAAATGTAAAAAATAAATAAAATAGAATTGTTTTATTTTTATTTTTCCGATAGTGTAAGTAATATTTATTTAACCAAGAAAATGTGACTGGGACATTAATTTACATTTGAATACAAATTAAAAAAATAAATAAAATTAATTAAAAAAAAAATTTTTTTAAATGCAAATAAATAAATAAATACAAATAAATAAATTTTAAAAAATACATTTTTTAAAAAATAAATAAATAAATACATAAATAATAATAAATAAATTTAAAAAATAAATAAATATATATGAATTAAAATAAATGATGAATGTACCTGATAAGGTGAGGCAGAAGGCGACAGGAGACCCTGCTGTATGTATTTCTGAGCAGAAGGAAGAGCTTGTGCTGTTGTGACGTCAGTCTGGAGCTGCAGATCCACCGAGTTTGAGAAATCTAGTGCTGTGATGCCGCTGCGGACACAAATACAGGAACACCAGGTTAGAAACGAGTATTAACAGAAACGGCATCGTGCTTTATTCACGTACCTCAGGTAGAAATACAGCGACTCTGGCTTCAGGCCTCCGTAAACCACTCGACAGGAATGAAACTGTTTGACCAGCTCCAGCAACAGAACCACTAGCAGAGAAACATCGTCTGCAGCACTGGGCTCGGCCAGAAGATCCTACACGTGGAGAGAGTTTGTGTGAGGACAAGGTGCTCACGGAGGGAGGTTTAGGAGTCTGAGCGAGCCGAACCTGAAGGGTGTCTCCGTGAGGAATCCTCCAGAGAGTCATGCAGCCGTTCTCAAACACATAACAGCAGATCTGGACATCGGCGTCCGGCTCATCACGAGACCGGCGAGATCTGAGCTGTGAGCGGATGAAGAAATCCCACGGCACGCCCGACCAATCCACCTTTACACCAAATACATAAAACACAAAAAATATGAAATATATATATATTTGGCACTCTAACTCTAGCACTTTCTATTCTATTTTAATTCTACTTTATCTTTTTTTATTTAAAAAAAAAAACTAACACTTGCTTTCTATTTTTTCTTGCTTTCTATCTACTTGTTTTTCTTTTTGTTTGTGTGTGTATATGTGTGTATATATATATATATATAAATGCCTCATCACGATATGATCGGATATGACTGGTTATGATCGGCTGTGATTGGTTCATGCTATAAATCCCGCCAATGAACAATATAATGTCATTAATGGGAAGACTAATTTAAAAAAGTAAACAACTCACACGCTTAGATGTAATCATGGTTACGTCAAAATAAGACTTGAAACGGCCTGAAAACACGATCTGTGGGAGTTTTTAGTGAGTAATCAGCTTTAAATTAAATCTCTGTCTGTGACCAATATTCACCGAGCTTTGATGACTGATGATCTGCAAAATTCAAAAATAGATAAACGTTAACTATTAAAAAGAATAGCTGAACATAAGTTCACACATAAAATATAGTGTTTAAATTGTTGCTGTCTTGAGTTATTATTTTTGTATAATTCTTAAAAACACTAACTTGATGAGATTCATACTTGGCTTTAATAAACAGAATATCGTTTACATTGTAAATGTAAAAAATAAATAAAATAGAATTGTTTTATTTTTATTTTTCCGATAGTGTAAGTAATATTTATTTAACCAAGAAAATGTGACTGGGACATTAATTTACATTTGAATACAAATTAAAAAAATAAATAAAATTAATTAAAAAAAAAATTTTTTTAAATGCAAATAAATAAATAAATACAAATAAATAAATTTTAAAAAATACATTTTTTAAAAAATAAATAAATAAATACATAAATAATAATAAATAAATTTAAAAAATAAATAAATATATATGAATTAAAATAAATGATGAATGTACCTGATAAGGTGAGGCAGAAGGCGACAGGAGACCCTGCTGTATGTATTTCTGAGCAGAAGGAAGAGCTTGTGCTGTTGTGACGTCAGTCTGGAGCTGCAGATCCACCGAGTTTGAGAAATCTAGTGCTGTGATGCCGCTGCGGACACAAATACAGCAACACCAGGTTAGAAACAAGCATCAATACAAATGCCATCCATCAAATGCTAGCGTGTGCATGTGTTATATTCACAAACCTGTGGTAAAAGTACAGCGACTCTGGCTTCAGGCCTCCGTGAACCACTCGACAGGAATGAAACTCTTTCACCAGCTCCAGCAACAGAGCGACTAGCAGAGAAACATCCTCTCTAGCAACAGGCTCGGCCAGAAGATCCTAAAGGTGGAGCGATGAAGACAGACAGGTTTGACGGAGGACGTATGAACGCGGAGGAGGAGACGGGAACGGAGCGAGCCGAACCTGAAGGGTGTCTCCGTGAGGAATCCTCCAGAGAGTCATGCAGCCGTTCTCAAACACATTACAGCAGATCTGGACGTCTCGCTCCGGCTCGTCACGTGACCGTCGAGCTCGGAGCTGCGAGATGATGAAGAAATCCCACGGCACTGCAGACCAGTCCACCTGTTGCAGAAAACATGAGAGGAAACGCATAAAAGAACAAACAGGAAATCACAAAATAAACTAAAACGGGGAAAAAAAGCAAACAAAAATTTGAAATCTTGCCTAGAAGACAACTATCTGAAATAAAGGTTATGTAACAGAATATATCAATATCTATCTATATAATCAAAATGATAAAGTGACATAATTAAAACAACTGACATAACACAATTACTAAAACAAACAATCTCTTTTGCTCAGCAAGCCTGCATTTATTTGATCAGAAATACAGCAGAAGCAGTAAAATTGTGAAATATTTTTACTATTTATAATAAGTGTTTTCTATATGAATATGTGTTAAAGTGTAATGTATTTCTGTGATGTGCAGCTGTATTTTCAGCATCATTCCTCCAGTCTTCAGCGTCACATGATCTTCAGAAATCAGTATAATATGCTGCTTTGAAGAAACATTTTTTATTATTAATATTAATATTTAAAACAGTTAAGTAACATTTTTTCAGGATTCTTTGATAAATAGAAAGATCCAAAGATCAGCGTTTATCTGAAATAAAAAGCTTTTATAACATTATACACTCTACCGTTCAAAAGCTTGGAGTCAGTTATATGAGAAATTATAGAAATTAACACTTTATTTTGCAAGGACGCTTTAAATTGATTAAATGTGATGATAAAGACATTTATAATGTTACAAAAGATTTCAGATAAATGCTGTTCTTCTGAACTTTCTATTCATCAAAGAAACCTGAAAACTCTACTCAGCTGTTTGTAACATTGATAATAATCAGAAATGTTTCTCGAGCAGCTAATCAGCATATTATACTGATTTCTGAAGATCATGTGACACTGAAGACTGGAGGAATGATGCTGAAAATACAGCTGCGCATCACAGAAATACATTACAGTTTAACAGATATTCACATAGAAAACAGCTATTATAAATAGAAAAACTATTTCAGAATTTTACTGCTTTTGCTGTATTTCTGCTCAAATAAATGCAGGCTTGATGAGCAGAAGAGACTTCTTTAAAAAACATTAAAAATCTTACTGTTCAAAAACGTTTGTCTGCTAGTGTACATCTCACAATTATGAGGGAAAAACTCGCAAACATCCTCTCTAGCAACAGGCTCGGCCAGAAGATCCTAAAGGTGGAGCGATGAAGACAGACAGGTTTGACGGAGGACGTATGAACGCGGAGGAGGAGACGGGAACGGAGCGAGCCGAACCTGAAGGGTGTCTCCGTGAGGAATCCTCCAGAGAGTCATGCAGCCGTTCTCAAACACATTACAGCAGATCTGGACGTCTCGCTCCGGCTCGTCACGTGACCGTCGAGCTCGGAGCTGCGAGATGATGAAGAAATCCCACGGCACTGCAGACCAGTCCACCTGTTGCAGAAAACATGAGAGGAAACGCATAAAAGAACAAACAGGAAATCACAAAATAAACTAAAACGGGGAAAAAAAGCAAACAAAAATTTGAAATCTTGCCTAGAAGACAACTATCTGAAATAAAGGTTATGTAACAGAATATATCAATATCTATCTATATAATCAAAATGATAAAGTGACATAATTAAAACAACTGACATAACACAATTACTAAAACAAACAATCTCTTCTGCTCAGCAAGCCTGCATTTATTTGATCAGAAATACAGCAGAAGCAGTAAAATTGTGAAATATTTTTACTATTTATAATAAGTGTTTTCTATACATCTATATATATATATAGAGAGAGAGAGAGAGAGAGAGAGAGAGAAAATAAGTCTATCTTTATTTTCAGCAGTTTTGTGTACATTTGCTATTATTAAATTGTATTATGTATTTATTACACTACCAGCCAAACATTTGAAAACACTGCAACTGTCGAGCACTACCTAGGGCCCTAAAACACGTGTGTCACCTTCAGAAAGACAGCAGCGGTTCCAGACGAGTACAGAGTGAAGTCCTTCAGCGTCTCCAACTTACCGCGGTAAACCAGCATCTCTCCATCTGGAAGTGTGTGGAATAAACTATTAAACATTACTCAGACGACGAGTGACTGTAAAAACATGACGGTGTCGGAGGAGGAGGAGTTTTCTGGATACCGAGACGCAGGTCATCGACCCCGCTGGCGTCCGGCACACGGCCGGTTTTCTGCTGGAAGTTGGAGAATGACGTCACGTCTGCCTGATGATACAACCTGGATCTGACGTCCAGACCGCAGACGTCCTCCGATTCAGTGACTGCTGACACACACACACACACAGACAGAGAGACACACACACACACACAGACAGAGTGACACAGAGACACACAGAGACAGAGACACACACACAGAAAGACACAGACACACACACACACACACACACACACCCACAGAAAGACACACACACACACACACCCACAGAAAGACACACACCCACAGAAAGACACACACACACACACACACACACACACACACACACACACACACACACACAAACACAC